CTCTCCTTTGTGTAGCGATGTGGTGCCTGGGTACTGTAGGCATGGGCTTGGGACTGCTTCAGCACGGGGTGTTTGTGTAGTGCATGCTTTATAGTTAGCACATTCTGAAATGGGAGCACATGCTAAAGAGAGAGCACAGAAATGCAGTCCAGGTCTCCCAAGCCTGGAGACTGCTTATCCCAAGCATTGCTGATCTCTCAGGGTTTTGAAGAATGCTGAAGTAGATACCAAGTGTTTAGAAGCAGCTCATCATGAAATATGAAGGACAAAACTGGATGAAAAAAAACATGTCATAAGTACTTGTTTAAACACATAGTGATCCTGGGGAATCCCCAGTGCGTTCCCGTTGTCCTCTGTTGGCACATAAATATATCTGAGCAGTTTTTCCTCCACATATGTCCATTGTAAGGTAAGCCTTCATCTTAAGAATTTTTGTCTGCCTTGTCATTTCAATGTTTCTTGGCACTTTACTCATGAATTGTGCCACAAATGTTAAACAAAAAAAAAAAAAACCCAAACAAACAACAGAAAACCACACAACCAGACAAACAGAAAAAGGCACCAAGAAAATCCCCACCAAAAAAACCCAAACCAAACACGCCCACCCCCTTCAAACTAACAAAACCAACCAGCCAACAAACCAGTGCAGGACAAACTGCAGTTTACCCCGCTTGTTTTCTGATGGTGAGCGCTGTGATTTGCATCCTTAACGTAACTGCAGTGACTCTGCTTCTAGTTCATTCCTGTTTCGAACTTGAGATAGGTTTAAAATGTGAAGGTGAGCGTAGACTTTCCATCTTTCTTCTTAGCAGGTTCATCAGTAAGGGATCCTTCTCTGTCTGATTGTTCAGGTTTAAGTAATGTGTTTGTCAGCTATTCTAATAGATCTCGTGTAGTGACTCGTGTAGTTTCCACAACTTTTCCAAATATCTGCCAGTTTGTCCTTTCTCTCTCCACTCTCACTTTAGAATGTGTAACACTCTGGCCCAGAAATAGAATTTCCTGGATATTTGCACCCTCACAGATAATAGCAGGAAAGAATCAACAAGGAGAGCTTGTGAATCTCAATAGTGAGATTTTTTTTTCTGGTGAGCAGGTGCAGGATTGTTGAGCTGTTCATCTAATAAAAGTCACAGAATCACAGGGGTTGGAAGGGACCTCAGGAGATCATCCAGTCCAACCACCCTGACAAAGCAGGGTCCCTACACCAGGTTGCACAGGAAAGTGTCCAGATGGGTTTGGAACATCTCCAGAGCTGGAGACTCCCCACCCTCTCTGGGCAGCCTGTCCCAGGGCCCCGGCACCCTCACAGGAAAGAAGATTTTCCTTAAGTTTGTCTGGAACTTCCAGTGTTCCAGTCCTTCTGCTATCACGGGCCACCACTGTAAAGAGTCTGGCCCCATCCTCTTGACACCCGCCCTTAAGATACTTATAAACATTGATCAGGTCCCCTCTCAGTTGCTCTTCTCCAGGCTGAACAGCCCCAGCTCTCTCAGCCTCTCCTCATATGGGAGGTGCTCCAGGCCCCTAAATGTAAAATCTTTTTCTTCCCTTCAAGAAAGGCAAGAGACTTAGAGGAGGACCTGAGACAACATTCCTTAGGACATGATTTTCCTGAGACCATACCTGAAAAATCTGTACAAGAGAATTCCTGAGCCAGGGGTTAATCAGACTTTGTTGATGTGTCCCTGCAGCACTTCATAGTCACAGAGACCAGTTTACTTCTTCAGATCTCATCTCAAGGACGTTGCCGAACAGCTAAGTCACTCAAATGCTTTGCAGAGAGTACGAAGGGTGATATTAGCTTCTTTAAAATTTTAAAAGTGTACATCTTGGTCAGTCTAACCTATTTATTTATCTGTGGATTATGTGTGATAGTGTTCTGTGATGGTGGTCCATGCAACTTGAATACACTCTTAAAAAAACCCCCTCAAATCCTGACACCTGCAAGGCAATAAAGTGTCAGTAGGGAAGGAGATTGATGTCACAGTAACATCATGATTTAAATGTATGTGTTACCAGACAGCAGCAAAGTTAATTCCAGACCTTAATATTAGTCTCATGCTCTGCTTCATCTCTGCCTGTAGTCCTTTCCTCAGCCCCGTCTGTGCTGCTCGTGCAGCCTCTCGAGTGCTGGTGGTGAATGTGAGCGTCTGGCGCTGCCATATGCTTTTTCTTGCTGGTTGGTAGCGTGTCTGTGTGCCTCTGGGAAGGTACGGTACAAAACCTTGTGGTTTAGCCAGAACCCATGGGCTCTGGTAGGGAATTGCCAGGAGAAATGACAGTTATGGCATCTCTGGTACTCCTGTTATCTTGCTGCTCTGATGTGAGGCAAGTTCCCCAGGGACTGGTTCCAGCTTTGCAGAAGAATGAGATTAACTTGGAAGCAGGGGGTTTGGAAGATGGAATGAGGGACATGTGCACCCAAAGCCCAAGGACCAGAAGGGCTAATATTACCAAGATTATTTTCTGGTGTTGCAGAAGATTCAAGTGATATTGTCTCTTATGTCTTGATAACAAGAGGAAATGGGCTGAAGTTGTGGCCAGGGCAGTTGAGATGGGATGTGAGGAAGAATTTCTTTGCTGAAAGGGTTGTGAGGCATTGGAAGGGGTTGCCCAGGGCAGTGGTGGAGTCCCCATCCCTGGAGGGATTGAAGAGTCATGTAGACATAGTGCTGAGGGACATGGGTTAGTCATAGGGGACTGGTCAGTGTTGGGTTCATGGTTGGACTCCATGAGCTTCAAGGGCTTTTCCAATCCAGGCAGTTCTGGGATCCTGTGATAAAATAGTCTCTGTTAAAAACAATTTAAAAGATCAAATAACTTAATCTACCTGTTGGAGTCCATCTGTTGTGGAATTTACAGAGGCGCTAGCACTAGAAATAAAGTTCATTACTGCTACAGTAACTGGCATTCTTCAAGATGACATGTGTGGATTATGTGATGTGGAAATAAAGAGAACAGCAGTTAGTTCCAAAAACTCTTCAGCTTGGGGCAGTGTATGAAGATACCTGGAACTGGGGGTGAACAAAGGGAATTGCACAGCCAGGGTTTCCCAGTGCCTGGCTCTTTGAATACCTGCTTCAGTCCACCGGGAAGTACAGCTCGAGATAACGCATTGGGAAGAGCCTTGGTTGAGAAGATGAGATACTTCAGTTACATATATTTATTTAACTTAATAAAATGAATTTATTTTAGGAAGCTGAAAAAAAAGAAACGTATCTGCAAAAATGCCATTGAGGTTTTTTCCTTAAAAAAACCCCAGAAGCACATTGGTTCTGGGTCTGTGATTTTCTAAACTAGGAAGAAATAAGGAAATAAAATGTATTTGCAGGTTACTTTATACCACCATACACTTATTTTCTTTTCACGAACAGTTCAGGAGAAACGTTTTGGTGGCTTTCAAGATGAGTATGTGTTGTGAGATCTTCACCAGCGAACAATTAACAGGCGATGGACAACTGCTGAGGGAAACTGTTAATCAGAGTGTATGTTAAGTGCCAAGACGTGACTTTCTTTTCCTTGGTTGACATTTAAGCCTCGTGAAATCTGTCCTGCCATGCTGCATGAGGGTGAGTTGACTAACTCCCTTAGAATTAGATTCTGGTGGAATTGTAGAATAATTGTTCGGTATTTTAGCCTTTAAAAAAAAAACAGCCAAAACCCACATATTTAATGAGTTGGCCAATCTGTTAAGAAAAGAATAATAAAATGTAGTAATTTCAAGTGAAGTTTTATGCTGAAACTGAATTAAGTTGCTCTTTTTTCGCTGGAGTTGACTGAAATTTAGCTTGTAGGACTCCACAGTCAGGTAAGCCCTAGGAGCTACTAAATTGTCCCTACGCCGCCTTATCTTGAGGTGTGAGTTCTGTTGTGCTGCTGTCACCTCTTTAATCTGTTTTCATAAGAAAGGGAGGCCTGTGTGACCAAAATATAAGTTTGTTTTTTTTCTTTCCACCTTAACTTTACTTCAGATCTTTACTTCCCTGACAAATGTGATTTGGCCTTAGGCATCAGGTTTCAAAGTTAAATGAAATCTGACGAGTTTTGATACAACAGGTTTTCACTTTTAAATACAACCCTGCACCCCCAAAACCAACATCCCCACAAAAACCCAAGGCCGGGAGGAGGAGCGTTATTAATCTGTCAGCCAGGGAAAGGAGTGAAATAACCTTTCTCCTTTTGAACACCAAGATGTTTTGGACATGCAGATCTGTAGGGCTCTGCACTTTGCTGGCTCAGCTGCTCATAGAGAGGTCTTGCTTGCTTTGTATCAACCAAGGAGCAAGGGACAGGACAAGAGGAAATGGGCTGAAGTTGTGGCCAGGGCAGTTGAGATGGGATGTGAGGAAGAATTTCTTTGCTGAAAGGGTTCTGAGGCATTGGAAGGGGTTGCCCAGGGCAGTGGTGGAGTCCCCATCCCTGGAGGGATTGAAGAGTCGTGTAGACACAGTGCTGAGGGACATGGGTTAGTCATAGGGGACTTGTCAGTGTTGGGTTCATGGTTGGGCTCCATGAGCTTAAAGGTCATTTCCAATCTGGGCCATTCTGGGATTCTGTGTGATTCTGTATTTTCCAAACAAAATCTGTTTGAACAGAAAGGAATTCTTTCTATCTGAGCAACCTGATCTAGTTGAAGATGTCCCTGCTCACTGCAGGGAGGTTGGACTAGATGACCTTTAATGATCCCTTCCCACCCAAACCACTTTATGATTCTATATACGTGTATGCACCTCTGAGTTTTGCAAACTTTAGATTAAAATGTCAGAATGAATGTTTCCTGCACTGTGCACTGCTTTAAAAGGTATTAACAAGTCTAAAGCAAATCTCTGCTGTGGGATACGATCATTATGGAAGCATCTGTCTTTCTACTGGTCTTTTCATTTACCAAATAAAATCAAGCTGTTTCAAGTTGAAGGATAAAATAATGTTGTTCACAGCAAGTTGCTCTTGTAACAGAAATTCTAGCACAAACAGTGTTTGCCATTTTTGTCTTCAGAATGATTGAGGAGAGTGGGAAGAGGAGGAGGACAATGGCAGAGAAGAGACAGCTGTTCATGGAAATGAGTAAGTAAGAAATTTGAAGACATAATGTCATTTATTCTTTATTGAGAGCATCACTTTGATAGTTTTACCAGATCATTTACATCTTGTTTCCACGAGACCATTACCTCATCTAGTGAAAAGCATCCTGAGTGGGTGCTGGTCAGCAGGAGAATGCAAGAGGTGGGTCACAACTGCCTGAAAGATAATTCATTTCTAGGTTGTCATTCATTTCCCTTTTTAAGGAACATTCACATTTCTCATATATGGCAATATCTAAAGTTTGTGGACAGCTATTAAATAATAATAATAACAACAGACAGATCACCTTTTACCTTGGGGGAAAAAGAAAATAAAATTGCACCACAATGCTGGAGTGTCTCAGAACAGAAGCAGTGTGAGCGGTTTCGGGGTTGTTTTTTGCGCAGGACCATTCTCTGAGACTGTAATTGTTACTAGAAGTCAAATGCCTGTCCAGAGAGAATATAATTTAAAGGAATGAGATGTAATCTTTTAAAAAGATGTGTGCATGTAGAAGTAAAAGATTGTAAGTTTGCATGTCTTCATGTTATTTTACTTTCCTATGGGGACACAGGATTGAGTGAAACTCCTAGGTTAGGCAAGTCCTGGGAGTCCTGTCCTCTAATTCCAGCCACAGGCTGATGAAGGTCTGTGGTAAAACAACAGGATATTTGTGCTATTTTGTGGAAGAAATTCCAGAATAACATTCTTACTGTGGTTATAAGCATCTTATAATTTCAGTTTCATTCCTGACTAATTCATATCTGCTGCTTCTCATGTGAGATGGGTCTTGGATAGTATTTCTTCCCACCTTCCCAGCTTGCTTTGTGTTGGAGTTTTTGGCTTGCTCAACATGCAGCACAAGCTAACTCGTGTGCTCTCCTTGCTGTGCACCTCATCTCCTGTTCTCCTCTGCCTCTGCTCAGGATGACTTGAGCAGAAGTGGCTGCATTGTGCATGATATCCTGGATGAAATCTCATTAGAACCTTGCAAAGTGACAGTAGTCCTCCTCCAGTAGAAAAGCTTTGCCTTGGTGTGTCAGGGTATTACATTTGTCTCATCGCTTTGAAGTGGTGTAGTCATCTTGTGATCATTTCCTACAGAAACTGGCTTGCTAGTTTTTAGCTTTGGCTAAATTGTTCAAGATATTGAGAATTTTTCAGATTATCTTTATACAAGGTGTCTCTTCTTGCAGCTGTGGTTCTTGCTGTTCATTCTCAGTGATGGTGCTGGTGTGTAGACACTCCGAACTGCCCTTCTCTGTAAGGCTCTGGAGCATATCAGGATGAGAAATCTAAGGTCTCCAAGCTTCAACTGTCCTGTGGTGGAATATTTCACTACAAAAGTTAATGCTTAAATGTTTTCCTTTCCAGCTGAGCTTCATACACACAGTAGATGTGCGATGTGTAAAACTGATGCTTTCAGTGACCATTTGGTGTTGGTCAACATCCAGATCTGCTGAAGTGTTTAGGTGATGAAACAAGCATCGACCTTGGCATTCACCCACACTGGATGTACTGCTACCCAAGGATGTTTCTTGCTTTTTTAGTAATTACGAAGGTGTCTGACAGGCAAGAGTTCTGTGCAAGCTATTTTGATTTCTCTGAACTCCATAAGAGTTTGTCTTATGGAAGGGTATAAGGAAGATGGAACCAGATGTTTCTCAGCCCAGTCGGAGGATACAAGGCAATGGGCACAAACTGAAACACAGCAAATTCCATCTGGATGTGAGAAAAACCATTTTTACTGTTAGGGTGGTTGAGCACTCAGAGGTTGCCAAACAAAATTGTGGAGTCTCCATCCTTGCAGATATTCAAAACTCAACTGAACAGTCTTGGGCAAATTGCTGTAGCTGACCCTGCTTGAGCAGGGAGGCTGGATGAGATGTTCCTTCCAGCCTCAGCTATTCTGTGATCCTGAGCTATAGAGAATGTCTTGAAAACACATCCCATTTTATCTTACAGTAGTTCAGAAGAATGACCTTGTTGAAGCTTTTGTGGTAATGCGACACAGGAAGACAAGAGCAGAAAATAGACACCTTTTTGGTTTTGTTTTTGCATGTAGCTGTTAAATGACCTTTTTTATATGTATAAATATACATACATGTATATTTTATAGGCATTTATATACATATATTTTATACAGACAAAGCAATTTAAGCCGACTCATGGTCTGTGGAAGTGCTTTCTGTGGTTTGAAAGACAGAAATTGCAGCCTAATTGAGAGTTTTGAAAGAATCTTGCATAGAAAATACAAAATGAGCTATTCTGTTGTAGCCTTGGATACTCCAGCTGACATGACCTGTCCGAGTGCTTCTCTGAAATACATCAGAGACTGATTTTCTAAAGGTGATGCTCTGAAACAATCCACTCAAGTCTGCTGCACCACAGAATCATAGAACTGTTTAGGTTGGAAGGACCTTTAAGATCATCAAGTCCAACCACGAACCCAACAGTGACAATTCCACCTCTAACCCATGTCCCTGAGCACCTCGTCTGCCCGTCTGTTAAATCCCTCCAGGGAAGGTGACTCCACCACCCCCCTGGACAACCCCTTCCAATGCCTGACCACTCCTTAGGAGAAGAAATTTTTCCTAATATCCAACCTGAACCTTCCCTGGAGCAACTTGAGCCCATTTACTCTTGTCCTATCACTGGTTGCCTGGAAGAAGAGCCCGACCCCCACCTCTCTCCACCCTCCTCCAAGGGACTTGCACAGAGCCACAAGGTCTCCCCTCAGCCTCCTTTGCTCCAGGCTCAACACCCCCAGTTCCCTCAGCCACAAGGGAACTCAGCACACTTGTGCTCCAGACCCTTCCCCAGCTCCGTTCCCTTCTCTGGACACGCTCCAGCACCTCCATGTCCTTCTTGGACTCAGGGGCCCAACACTGAACCCAGCACTCAAGATGTGGCTAACATACTGTCAAGCAGAACACTCCTGAGATGTTGGCTGGTCTAATGCCACTCTTGGGTAAGCTGTCATGGAGAGCCTTGGATTGGGAAATTGGTCAGCCTCCTCACTGGTTTTAGGAGAGTCTTTTCACCTCATGTTCTACATCAGTGTTGAAGAGAAATAATCCTGGTGTGTAATTTTCAAGACACAATATATAGGTCTCTGAGAACAAGCAGATGCTTTGACATTTTATTTGCAAGATTCGAGTGAAATATCCAAGACAAGAATACTTTTCTTTCTGAAGTTTGCAACTGTGAGTCAGCGGGCGCGTACACAAAGGTAATTCAAATGAGGTATTTGCAAGTTGGCTTTTGAATTCAGAATGTAGGAGGGAATAAGTTATCACCTTTGAGTAAGACCTCCTGATGTAGCAAGCGGATACCTTCTTCAGGAGGATGTGGGTTTGTTTTTAAGTATCTTTTAGAAGTCTGGATTCTCTAAGTCCGTTATCCCCGATTCTCAGTTCTCTATTCATCTAGGCTCTGGCTTTTGAGAGAGAAGCATGAGAGACTGCAGCAGCCACTGCTTTTATGCTCTCCTGTGGGAACACAAGAGGTGCAGGAGCCATGTGCATCCGTGTCATTACCCACGTGCAGCTGGGTTGTGTCAGGCTACAGCTTAGCACTGTATTGATTATGGGATGTAGCCGCTAACGCTGTCGAAATGTGAGCAGTTTAAAGGCATTTTGGTTTATGATTAATGAGATTTTCAAGACTTGTTGACTGCATCCAAATTAAGATGATCGATACTGGACTTTAAACCAGGATCATTTATCATCCCCACATCGTTTATCACAGAATCACAGAGTTGCCTGGACTGGAAAAGCCCTTGAAGCTCATGGAGTCCAACCATGAACCCAACACTGACCAGTCCCCTATGACTAACCCATGTCCCTCAGCACTGTGTCTACACGACTCTTCAATCCCTCCAGGGATGGGGACTCCACCACTGCCCTGGGCAACCCCTTCCAATGCCTCAGAACCCTTGCAGCAAAGAAATTCTTCCTCACATCCCATCTCAACTGCCCTGGCCACAACTTCAGCCCATTTCCTCTTGTCCTGTCCCTTGGGCCTTGGTTGAATAGATCCACCCCCACCTCTCTCCACCCTCCTCCAAGGGACTTGCACAGAGCCACAAGGTCTCCCCTCAGCCTCCTTTGCTCCAGGCTCAACACCCCCAGTTCCCTCAGCCACAAGGGAACTCAGCACACTTGTGCTCCAGACCCTTCCCCAGCTCCGTTGCCCTTCTCTGGACACGCTCCAGCACCTCCATGTCCTTCTTGGACTCAGGGGCCCAACACTGAACCCAGCACTCCAGCTGCAGCCTCACCAGTGATTCCCAGTGCAGGGGGAAGAGAACTTCCCTGCTCCTACTGGCCACACTGGTGCTGATCCAGGCCAGGATGCCCTTGGCCTTCTTGTCCACCTGGGCACTCTGCTGACTCATGTTCATGGTCTCATTTGATCGGTGTAGGAGGTGCACAGGTCTGTTTGGCAGAGGGTTAGCACAACTTTCTGAAATGGCTTCAGTTTGTAACGTTCAGAGCAATTGCTGGAACTGGTAGACATGGTGCAGACTAGTCATAGATCATCACATTCAGATGTTTTGTGATGAGATGTTTGAAGGTTGAACACTTGCACATCTTGAAGTGGGAAGTTGTTGGTGAAGAGAAGATGATTTTTCTTTTTCTTCTGCTTATTACTTGATTTGTATCTCTTTGGGGGACCAAAAGCGTGCTCCTGATGGGGCTGCAGTGCAGATGGTGGTAGGAGTACCAACCCCTCCTTTCCTTTGTCTCTTATCTTCTGTGTCCATGTCTTCCAACATCAGTGCAATCCTCTTCTTTACCACTCACCACTTACTTAATTCTTCCTTCCTTTCAAGGTCTGCCTGTCAGTCTCCAGCTTAGGTCAGTTTCTAACACACTGCTGAAAATCACTTCACCATGAGATATCTAATGGAAATCTTTGTCATGTTCTTATGACAAAGATGATGTATGTGAAGAAACAGTCATACCGTTTTTGGAGTGATTCTCTGAGATAAGCTGAATGTTACAGAGGAAAGAAAAACACCAACTTTTTTTTATTCATAGGAGCACAGAATTTTGATGTCATCAGACTCTCAACATATCGAACAGCCTGTAAACTGCGGTTTGTACAGAAGAGATGTAATCGTAAGTTATAATTACTCTTTATCTTCAGAAATTTCTCATGCATGATTGTTTCAGATGTTTTACCCATGTGAATGTTAAGTGTAGCAAGAGCGAGCAAACGTTTTGTCAGACAATGGTAGTTGTTACTTGAACTAAACAGAGATTAAATGTATAATTAAAAGAGACACTACGGTACTCTGGAATATCTTCAACTTTATTCTTTAATGTTTCAAAAATTTTACATATATGGGCCAACTTGATGTATTTTGGCTGCCCTGAGTGCTGGATGCAGGCACTCTCAAGCTATTGGAGCTCCTGTTCCATCACAGAGCAGCTCAGACCACCTGGCAGCTCGGCACAGGTAGCAGTTTGGTGATGCAAAATAGAGTCACGAGCATGAAAGTGTCTGGATCTGATCATGGTGGTGTAGGAAATGTAGTAACTGTAAAGAATTCTGTATGTTCATACCACGTTAGTCAGTGTAAGTTTTCCCATTCTCTACCGTGGTCTTTTGACCTTGGATAGATCATCAAAGCCAAGGTTAATCCCGGGGTGAACAGGTGATGCTGCTGGTGTTGAATTGGACACGGCAAAAAGCGAAGCAGAGCAGCGTGTGCAGGAACAGGTCCCTCCTCCCAGCGCAGTGGGATTAGCTTGTGTCCGGTGTGGAAGGAGACAGAAGAAGAGCTGAGGGGTCCTGTAGACGACGTGTGCAGCTGCACGCTGCAGACTGCCGCCCCTCCGTAGCACAGCAGCCCCCGGGATGAGTGTCTCGGGGCCGTGGGGGTGATACCCGCAGTGCCTTTAGCTTGATGGATGGCTTCCAACGTTTGCATTCCTGGGGAAAAGTGTTAGTTCTTGGCTGTAATTCATGCTTTTGAATTAAAAATCTCTCTTCAGCAGTAGGGAGGTATTAAGAAATGCTAATTATAATACCTTGCACAGTTTGGGCCCAGTTCACTCATGCTGTGCACATGCCTCAAGTAACCTTTCCCATACGTATGTATAGATGAGGCTGTGCATTTAGGATGTTTGGACCTAAATGTGCTCGGTGTGAGTAGGTAGCTTGGCTTTTATCGTTGTGTGGTTTTTATGTGAGAAGTACAAAGAGGAGCTTTATGTAAGAAATACTTCAGACTTACTTCAGACCCTTTTTTCCTAAGTTAAGGAACATAACTTAAGACATAAGGTTGTGAAGTTAGCAAGCGAGTCTGTCCTTTGTAACTGTTGGATCCCATCCAGTTTGGACTGATGGATTACTGCTGATCTTAGATGTCTTCTCCCACTGTCATGTATGCCTTGCAAGCTTTGAAACATTTAAAAATATTATTTAATGTGGTTCTGCAGAGCACTTACTGTGGTGTTGGAAAACTTTCTCTCTGCCTTGTTAACACTTCTTAGATATGTGCTAAGGTATGGCAGGGTAATTAAGGGAAACGCTTTGGAGTTCTAGACCCGTGTTTACAAATTACTAAGCTCTGGACTTGGCAACTGGATCAACTGGAAACAGGCATAGTTTAACTGGAACATTGAGTTCCTCCTTCAGTACTGAACTACTAGTCAGCAGGAGGATGTTCTAAATTATTGTAGCTGATTTGTAGTCAATGTGGAATATGGCTGATGTCTTTCTCAAGTGAAAATATCTAACTTTGCTAAAACGCGCTGCATGATGGTGGGAGATGGCTTTTCTGTTTTATGTAGTTTTTCTGTCAGAGCACCCAGATGTTGAAGGGTGGAACAAAAGGCCATGAGATGTCTGGGCACTGCTCTGTTACTTTAAACTAGCTGACACAGACTATGAGTATGAATATCAAGCCTCTGTCTCTCACTTTGAATACAAATAAGTAACTGTTTATTCCGAAATAACAGCTAACATAGTATTCAGAAACCATACCGTAGAAGTAAGCTTGCATGCATCATGGGACAGAAGTTAATTCTTTCTCCTTTATTTTTAGTTCATCTTGTTGATATCTGGAATATGATTGAAGCCTTCCGAGATAATGGCCTTAACACTTTGGATCATAACACAGAGATCAACGTGTCTCGACTAGAAACAATCATTTCATCCATCTACTACCAGCTAAACAAACGCCTTCCTTCTACTCACCAGATCAGTGTAGAGCAATCCATCAGCCTCCTCCTCAACTTCATGATAGCAGCATACGACAGGCTAGTAACTCCTCCAGTTGTGTTCTTAAACTAATTTTCTCTCTTAGTGAGGTGAATGCAGCCAGCGACTGCATGTGTCTGGCAAACTGTCTGCATGCTATTCACACACACACACACACACACACACACGTGTTTAATATCATAGTAGCGCCTGCAGAGATTTACACTGCTACAGCAGCAATGCTTTGGCTTAAAAAATTGGTTTCTTAAGAAAGATGAGCTAATGCCTTCTGGAACTTGCAGACTGCTGTAAGCTGTGTATCTGAACTGAAGACGAAGTGAAGCTGTGTTCTGCAGACTGATGGAATGTACTATTAACCTCACGGGGGTGTAGCACTGTTTTAAAAAGTGAAAGTGTTTTTTTGATTCTTATTGATTCAAGACCATTTTATAATGGTACATTGTTTTGACAGTCAGCTTGGATCCTATTCTAACAGGCTGTCACCCCACAAAGGCTAATTCTTCTTTCTTGGCTGGAAGAAGCTTGCTCTCTTGTTCAGGGCACTGCCCAGGCATTTCCTTGGGTCCAGTTTTATTTCTTTCTTTTGCAGCCTCTTTCTTCAGGGTTCTGTCTGCGCATCTTCTTGAGTAGATGTGTCTCTGTGAGTTCTTTGAGTAGCAACTGCAAATCTTTCACTCTTGTTTAGCACTTCTTACATTTTGTCTTCTATTTCTCACAGTCAGCTATTATTTTGGTCTTATCTTTCTTCTGCTTTTCCTCTCTCTCCTAGTAGTAGAGAACTGCTTGTGGCCAAGGCACTGTCACAGAGACTGAGGAGTTTTACCCGAGACAATCTGCAGCACTGAATACGCCAAATAGCTGTTCTGTTTGAAACATCCAGACTTTGATCCTTTCCTAATGTAATGATTTCTTATTGTCACCAAACAGCAGCTAGGTTTCCCCCAAAAAAGGTCCAAGACTTCACAGCAATCCCTGTCTCGCTAAGGACAGATAAAAACAACACAGAGCTCAGAGCAGGAGGCTGCTATGGCACAGAGTCAAACGTGTATTTTTCTGCTTAGTTCTGATTTGGTATGAGTTGTGAGACAAGTTGTAAGGGTTAGCTGCTGGGCTTAGTTATTCTGGGACAGATCATACTAGAAAAATATAGAATTTAAAAATAAAAATGGTCTGGTTTTGGGGGGCTGGCTCAAAAGATTGAGGCTTTAGTTAACGATATGTTTTTCTCCCCCACTGCCCTGAACTGTGCAAGTTCTGCCTCTTCTGGAACCCCAGCAGCACCTTTGATCCCAACCCTGTACAACAGCTTCTCTTTAGCTTCCTCTGTCTGGCACATGGGATTGAGAGAGAAGCTGGGAAGCTGCACTGCATTGTGCAGTGGGAGAACCAAGAGGAGAGGCAGGGCTGAGGCTCCCTCTCCAGGAATTAATCAATATGGCAGACATTTATTTAAAAAAAGAACCAAACAAACCAAAAACCAGGTCTGTGCTGGAATTGCATTGATGGAGTAGCTGCACGATAGCTTGAATGCACACAGTCCAGTAGCTTCTTACAAAGTGGTGCTGGTGGTCACATCACAAAGTCATTCCACCAAACAGGTACAGGGATCAAAGATTTGACAAGCGACTTCTCCATGGAATTATTTAAGTTAGAGCTTACGTTGGGTAAGTATGAAAAATATTCCCAGTGAACCCTTTGGCTGGGACCCAGAGAACAACAGTGATCGTGGTGCAGAGAGGCTGGCTCACACCGCGTCAGTGGTCAGTTGTGAGGAGGAACAGCTGTGGTACGATGTTCTTCACTGCTTTTGTGCACAGAACTTTGCAGGGATGTTTGACAGTTTATTCCTGGTTTTCCCAATAGCCTCTCATGGCTTCCCAAAGTCCCAGGCCTGTTACTGGCACCTCATAGTAACAGCTCATTCCCTGACCCCATTTGACTGCTTCAGAGCAGTCAGGTTTTTATTTCATTACTTCTAGAAATCACATTTATTTTGACAGTAGGTTTAGTTGCTCCAAATTCTTTTTTGTTTTTAAATTGTAGGTATCAGGCCACACTGTATGCTGGTAATAAAGCAGCGTGCAGTAATGGGGAGGGAGACGACAACCAACAAACAAGTGAGGAAGTGAGTTAGAGAGCAAAGTGTGGAGTGATGTGATTAGGAGGAACCTTGTAATTGGCACAGCAGAGCTGTAAGGGGCTCACTTCAGGCATAGAATCATAGAATCAGTGAATGTTGTGAGTTGGAAGGGACCCACCAGGATCATGAGTCCAACTCCTGTCCCTGCACAGGACAAGCCCAACATTCACACATGTCCCTGAGGGCCTTGGCCAAATGCTGCTGGAATCTTGTCAGGCTTGGTGCCATCAGCACCTCCCTGGGGAGCCTGTTCCAGTGCTCCACCACCCTCTGCCTCAAGAACCTTTTCCTCATGGCCAACCTCACCCTCCCCTGCCACATCTTCCTGCCATGTCCTTTGCTCCTGGCATTGGTTGGTGGCCAGAGAGAAGAGATCAGCGCCTGCCCCTCCTCTGCCCCTTGGGAGGAAGTTCTAGACCCCCAGGAGATCTCCTCTCAGTCTCCTCTTCTCCAGGCTGAACAAACCCAGTGCCTTCAGCCTCTCCTCACACAGTTTCCCCTCTAGACCCTTTGCCCAGCTCGCAGTGCAGGGCTGGGTGCCCCCAGGACACGGGTGTCCCTCTTGGCTGCCAGGACACACTGTTGGCTCATGTTCAACTTGCCATGGACCAGAACCCCCAGGTCCCTCTCTGCAGGGCTGAAATGTGTGTAAGGAGATGCCTCCAGAGCAGCGTTATGCAGAAAGCTCCTGTGCCTTTTCTGGGAAGTCAGCAGGGCTGGGTGCCTCTCTGAAGCAGCTGTAGGCTATTGAGTGCAGCATGGGCAACAAAGAGGAGGAGTTAGAGATGTGATTCCTCACGAGAGGACGGGGTGGGAGAGCTGATGCAACTGGAGTGCTGCAGTGGGTTCTTCAGGAGGGGCAGACAAGGAGGGGGACCTGCCCTTGATGTGAGGGAATGGCTGGAGTGCATGGAGCTCTGCCTGGGGATGGATGATGAGCCAGCTGGGAGTTTGAGTCAGGATTAGTGGGCAGACTGACATGGACATCACTGCCGTGGGTGTCTGTGGCAGAGCTCCTGGTGAGGCAGATGTGGAGGATGAGGCTTTCCTCAGGCGACGGGACGAAGCCTCCTGTTTTCAGCAAGTGTCCCAGTTCTGTTTCCAGTCCCGAGAACTCGGGATTGTTGCAGGACTTTCAAAACCACATTGAAAGTTTGTCCCTTTTTCCTTTCAATAGGAAATTGAGCAGATTGAACGGCGTTGGTACAGAAATCGGTTTTAACAAGTTGCTTGATAACTGCACCTTTGCCAGATGGCGGGGGAGTTCTGTATTTTCTAATTAATAAAGAGAATGTCAGCAGAAGCGGGCGCAGGCCCAAGATCTGAAGGCACCATAGGACACCTTTAAAAGGATAAGGTTGTGTCCTATGAGGAGATACTGATGGCTTTAGTAACTTGTTTTGTTCTGGAAATTAAGTTAAAGCTGAATTCTCTTGAGAGAAAATCAATGTATATGAAAAGAAAAGGGAGAGGGAGGTTGAGACTATAACTTGAGATTTGAATTAGCTAGTGAGATTTGTTCAGATAAAAGTGGAAGTCAAGGCTTGAAGAGGATGAACTTTTCAGACAACTAATTTCAGATCATCGAATGGTTGGGGTTTGGAAGGGACCTTAAAGCTCCTCCAGTCCCACCCCCCCTGCCAGCAGCAGGGACACCTTCCACTAGACCAGGTTGCTCAAAGCCTCATCCAACCTGGCCACAAACACTTCCAGGGAGGAGCAGCCTCTAGATGTAGTCAAGTTTTTTGTTTGTTTGTTTTTTACACACAGAGTGCCAGCTTTGAGAAAGCTATTGAAGAGAAAAGACAAACAGAACAGGCTAGCTGAGATCTTTACCTTGTTGTTAACTTTATAGCCTGAAATAAATATCTGATGTGTTTAATTTTCTCCCTCTCTTTAGTCTCTTCAAACAACAGTTAAGAGGATACTGCGTGTCAGCGAAGTGCTGGCCTTTGAATTGTCATTCCTCTCCACAGATCTTCCTGCAGCTGTAGCTCTAGGAGAGATTGCCTCTCTTCTCTAGAGGGAATATTTGAAAGATACTCTGAGTCTGTATTAGAGAAATAGCAAATTATATTTCAGATGCTTCTCTGAGAAAGGTTGAGAGCCTTTACCTCACCGTGGAGTGTGAAATGTTACCAGAAGATAATATTTACATATTTACTCTGGGTGTGAAAAGGGAGAAAATGTTATCTGGTTACTTCCTGATGTCTCCATGTGGTTGCTCATCTGTCATTTGACATTAGACCTTGTCACTGCTTCAATACCATGAGCCAGTTTTTACTTTGAATGATTCTACTCTTAAGACTTTCCAGGTGCTGGTTGTCCAAGTGCAGATGTTAAATACACATCTGGTTTCCACTGAGAAATATTCTAGAGTTTTTCTAGATCTTTTCCTACACTCACTGTATATTTTCTCCATTGTTGTGTTTCCCCTGCCAGTACAAATTATCTGTCCAGTACATTTAATTACAGATACTTGAACTTATTTTTTTTTTCTCCTTTTACTTAACTTTCTTGGTGGTTTCTCAGTCTGTACCACTGTTGCTGTTTATAGCTAAGGATAAAGATTCAGTTTGGCACTAAGTTGCTCAGAATTCCAACTTTTACCCACATTTACACACACTTCTTTTTTTCCTACTCACCACTAAACCAATGTTCAACCAACTTCACAGTAACAGTGGATTTACACTGAGATCTACACCCTGTGGCTGTCTTAATGTCATAGAATCATAGAATCCCAGACTGGT